CAGGGTGGATGCCCGTCCGTGTCCCAGGGGGGCCGTGACTGTACCTGAACCTCAGAGATAGGTCTGATGCCATCCAGGCAGGTGGCCTCTCAGCTGGGCCCTGCCCTGGCCAGAGGGTCCTCTCCCCCAGCACACCCCCCTCCCAGACGAGGAGCTGGGCCGGGGACAGGTGGAGGCCTGGCATCCTGCCCTGAGCAGGAGCGCAGCAAACCTGTTTACATTTGACGACTCCCCACCTTGCTCTGCAGCTCTCTCGGAACGTGGGAAAAACCACCGTGGCTTAAAATGAACAGAGGTTTCGCGTAGGACGCGGTGTGCACTAACACGGACGGCTCAGGGCAAACAAATCCACCTGCACACACACGTGCAGGCGTGTGCAAAGGGATGTGGGGGGAAGCTGGCTAGCCAGGCCAGGGATGGGCAGCCCAGAGGGTAGACAGGGTCTCTGGGACCTCTTCACGTTCTGGAGTCCAGTGGTGGTCCAGCTGGATGGTGGGGAGCTGGAGGCCAGGCCGAGACCCTGAGATGACCTGCCATGAAACTGGATCCAAGGCCAGTAGTCTCGCCACACTTCCACAGAAGGCTCCTAGATTTGGGTGGTGGAGGAGGATCCCACCAGGCAACACCAGCACCACCCTTGGATCTCCTGCTGACACTCAGAAAGGATGGAAGACGCTGCTGAGCTCATCCGAGAGTCCACTTCCATGCATGTGAACCACGGAGGTCATTGGGGTCCAGGAGCTGAGTCTGTGGCAGACAGAAAACGCTCTGTGAATGCCAGCTCCGGCCATCTCTGGGGGTTGGAGGGCTTCTGCAGGGAAGATGCCAGGGCTCAACAAGCCCATTACGCTTAAGCCCTCTGTGGGCCCCGTGTCCAGGCAAGGTGTGGTGTGGAATGGTGAAGAGAAACAAGTGTCGCGGTCACATCTGTTATGAGCTAACTTCTCCACTCGGAGCCACCCTGTCACGCTCCACCTCCAGCTGGAGGCAGGACTGAAAATACACACAGGACAGCAGATCCCAGGGCAGGTCATTAGTGGGAAGGGCAGCCTCGGAAGTAGCAGGAGAGAGGGTAGAGGGACCCCTCTGCTCACACCCCCAAGCCTCTCCCTGGCCTTCAGACCTGGCCCGGGCCCCTGTCTCCCAACACCACCTTGGTTAAGTGCCGAGTCCGGCACCCGGCTACAACGAGGCCTCTTCCCTTCTGCCAACTCATAGGACATATTCTACAGGACATGGTGGGTTTCTAAGACGGTAACTGTTTTTATGGGAGTAGAAAGCCTCATCTTTCTCCATTGGAGCTCCTGGTGGTTTCAAACTTCTGGCCTTGTGGCCATCAGCCCAACTCATAACCCCCATGCCTGCAGGGCTCCTAGAACCA